TACCCTCAAGGTCTCCCTTAGCATTTGCTAACTGTAACCTGGTGTAGATGTCCAAGATGCGTTTTTGGTCCTCATCACACCATGGGTTCAGATGTACATAGCTACCTGTGGTTCTGTAGTGTTCCTTCAGTGCATCTTTACATTTAGCAGCAGCTTGGGATTGGACATCAGACGTAGACCATTCTACATATGAAACATTCACAAAAAAGACACAAGCGTATCATTTACACTTTCACAACACCTGCTTTGAAATCTTTAATACAAACACTGATCCTTATACCTTTGGACAATTATTCTCATTGCATACATTGTTAAATGCTATCCAATTTAGTATCAACCTTTGACATACCTTTGCAGGTTTATTGTCAAATGATTTGCATACCCTGCCCAGACTGTTACTAAATTACACAAGTTTCGTGAAACCCACCAATTGACTTTGAGTGTAGCGCCTAAAGCTAGCTACACAACAAACATAATGTAGCCCACATTTTGGGTTAGGGATAGACGCATGGGCCCACAATAACCTCAGTCAACTCACAATTTGCGAGCTGTAAATTTGTCATTGCAGGGTATTGCAGCCCACGAACTTGAGGGTTTTATTTAATAGAAGTGTGGAAGGTGCTCATTTGCAGGACTGTGAGTTTATATTGCCGTAGAAGTTCACTTTACCTGCCGTGTCTGTCAATGGAACGAGCTCGCATTGCTGCTGCCTGCTTTGGCTGCGCTCTTTAATAAAAAGAAAAAATGTGATTTTTAAATGTCAGTTGAAGGGTGTTCAGGGCATTTCCCTTGAGTGGATTTCAAAATCAATGGTTGAACCAAGCTAAAGATTGTCCTGAGGGCTCATTTTAATGTCTCAAAATGTTACACTGAAATTCCAAAACGTTTTGCTGTCACAAAGCTTGAAACACTATGCTACATCACAGGACCACAATGCCATCTTTACAAACACCATCGCATACCTGTCAACCTGTCGTACTCCTTCCTGAGGGTCAGGCATCAACACACAATAGATG